GCTTCGCCGCATGCGGCGTCAGCCTGGGCATTAATAGTCCGGCGCCAGCTCTGGTCGGGGCCGAATTCAGCCGCGTGCTCAGCCTCCGTGGTGTGGGACCTGGTCCACGTGACTTGCGCCAGAGACGCATTATCAAGGGCCTGGGCCCATACCCATGGCTTGACAGCGCGTGACTGCTGCTTGGCCACCGCACTACAGTCGGAGGTGCAATCTGCCCGCTCCTCCAAGTGCGAGGTGAGCCTTGCGACCGCGAAGCATTCCCCTTCGCACACAGAACTCCCCGGGGGGAGGAGGCCAGTGAGTTGGCCAACCTGGAGAGGGGCACCCTCCGTCCAGGTGAACGCGCAGATGGCCCAGGCCACTATCCTGCCCCTGGCGTCGGCCGCGTAGGGCCCGCCGGAGGCGTCCGTCGAATAGAAAAGCCCCTTTGGCCACTTGGCCTCTTTGCAGACACCAACGGCCCGCTCCGACTGTGGGCCCCAGCAGTACCCCTGAAGCTGGGTGGCCTGAGCTGGCATCAGGCCCCAGTCGAAGGGGAACTGGGCAGTGAGGCGTTCCCAGTGTTTGGGAGGGGGGGGTGCCTTGCCACGTGGCGACGTGGTGCTGGGTGAGGGGCACCTTGCACAGGGCATTGCTGGCCAGCCTGGACATGCCGGTTTTTCAGAGCTCCCTGCCAGGCCATTCTCAGGGCGGCAGACTTAATCCGCGGGGCCTTTTTCACAAGGGTTGTGGGGACCGTCGTATCCACACCTGAGGCCAGACTGCTGCAACCCGTTTGGGTGCTGATGGCCTTCCACCGGGCCTTGTGGCAGGCGCTGGTCAGGCAATAGAGGATGGCCCTCCGTAGGAGGGGGTTGAGGGCCACCATCCCTAGGTCCTCAGGGACCCCAGCCAAGGTAGCTGGACACAGGTCGGCGGGGAATAACCAACGGTCCGGGGTGGGAGCCACAAGCCCGAGATCCAGCAGATAGGCTATCATGGCCCCCAGCGGTCCACAGACCACTCGCCATCTGTCTTTCCTTTGGAGCTGGGTAGTGAGCTGCGCCCATGTGCGGTCCAGCTGCTCACGGTCAGGGAGGCGGACCATCACCCGACAGAGGGCCTTAAAGTGCTGTGTGACCACTGCCACCCGGGGGTCCTTTACCAGCCAGGCGCCAAGTTCCAGCGCGATTTCGACGCTGCCCGTTCCGACCTTGCCAGTGATGGCGGCAGCTTGGAGACGCACCGATTTCATAGTTTTGGGGCTCACCCCTTGGGCCTGGTGTCCCCAGATCCCCGATGCCAGCACGGACATGGAAAACACCCGGCTGCTGGCCTTGATGTTGCGGACCTTAAGGCTGCGTAGCTTGCCCAGTCTGGCATTGGCTTTAGTCCGCCGCGCCGTGGAGAGGCGGGTGCACCGTCTCCTGCCAGCTGACAGCGTCATGCCCAGGTCTTTGGCAACACTCTGAATGGGGGGGTCACCCTCACCCAACTTTCGCCGCAAGGCGCGCTCGGCTAGGGGACTGCTCGCCAGGAAATAGGTCTTGCCGATAGATACCTGGTACCCAGCGGCGGAAAGCGAGGCATGAAGCCGTCTGAAGACCCTAATGACTGAGTTCGCTGCTTGGTCCGGGCTGTGATGTTCAGTATCTACCGTGATGTCGTCTATCCACGTATCTACGTGGTTGACATGCGGTCCAGAGCAACACTGCCGAATCGGCTCGCCCACAGCGAGTTTACTCAGGGTAGGGGCTAATGGGCAGCCCGCTATAATTCCGCGGCGAGCGAAAGCAACGGGCGACGCGACTTCGTCGGAAAGGATCACTCTGCCGCCGCGATACGATTCCATAGCAAGGAAAAGCAAAAGGTCCGGGAATCCGGCCGTGAGCGCGGCGTCGCAGAGAGTGGAGTGAACCACAGTCTCATAAAAGGTACTCAAGTCGACAAACAACGAGCACCGATGCAGACCGTCGACGCGCGCGGCTTCGTAGCAGACGCCTCTCCGGAGTGAGGCATCGTAGGTGGAGCGCTCCGGCAAAGCGCAGTCCCACCAAAGCTCAGCGCGATAGTCGCGAAGCCACGCTTCAACTAGGTGCCATCTTGCCTTCATCCCAAGCTTCAGGAGCGAAGACATCAAACCAATCGGTCTTTCGATTTTCTCGTTTTTAGCGAGCATCGTGAAGATGGTGAATGTCATCTGCTGTGGCACCTCTCCCGTGGTTTCGATTTCCCTCCAAAACGAGGCCAGGGAGGAAACCTCACCCGGTGTCAGGGCTTTGAGCAGCTCTAGGGACCAGCCGTCCGCACCCGCCGCTTTTAAGGGCAGGCGACGAATGAGCCGCTGGAACTCCTCCCCAGTGACAGCCGGGAGTCTCTGGGCTTGAGCAATGGCCCGTTCTTTAAGGCCCTGGATGGGAGGAGGAGGCTGGCCCTTCGACTCCCAAAGGCGAGCCCACTGCTGCAGTCGGAGGTAGGGCCGGGCTTCAGCCGGTTCGTCCACGAATGGGCGGGCAACCTCAGCCTCCTGCTTTTTGACCGTACGAAAGAGCGGCCGAAGGCCTTTCACAGAGGCTCCAGTAAGCCACTCCTGGTAGTCCCGTGTCTCGCGGGACCTGGACTCTTCGATGGCGGCCTGGCACATGCTCCTGACAACAGCGCGGATCCCGGCCCGGGAGTCACCCTTGGTTTCCCCGTTGCAGAGCACCTCTTCCGGGCTGAGGCCGGAGAGGCCGGCACTCTCAAGTTGGGCCTGCAGCACCTCCGTGCACGACGGTGGGAAACACCGTCGTAGGGCCTCGAAGCGGGCTTTGCTGGTGCCTGGGTTGTCCCAGGCGAGTTGCAGTTTCTGCCACCAGGCCGCCTCCTTGCCGTGCCACGGGTAGCCCTCCTTCGGTTGCATGAGGGGTTTGTACACGAAGGGCCGGGTGCACCCACGCCCACCAGGTTTGGTGAAGTGTTCAACCTCAAACCGGTGAGTGAGTTCGGCGAATTTGCGGTTGACCAGAGTGCCCTGGATCACCTCCGACCCGAAAGCACCAAGCAAAGGGCCGCCACCGGGGGTTAGCTGAGACAAGGTCGAGTCCTGGGTGAGGCTGTCAGTCCGACCGGTGGCCCCGGTTTGGGGATCAGTGCTGTCTGTTTTGAGCACCCCAGGAAACGCTGGAAGTTGCCTCAAGGCGACTTGGCCCCCGGGGGTGTTAAAACAGCACTCCAGGGCAGCGTGAGGCCGGAAGGGCACTTGCCAACTGGCAGCACAGGTAAACAGGGAAGCGACACTGGTGGAAACCAGGGCGAAATCAAGACAGTTACCTGTAGTTATCGTCGCCTCCGGAGGTGCGACGATCCGCCCACGAAAGGCCTCAGGCAGGGTGGTCTCCGCCAGCTCCTGCGAAGGGAAATTCCAGTCCCCAACCACAATCCAGTTGGAATTTTGGCGCAGGAGGGGCTTCAATCGGGCAAGGACTTCCGGGTTGGGCGCCCCAGTGATGCCAACGCCTGATTTTAGGTACAGGTTGACCAAAAGGATGGAGTGGCGAACTCTGGGGAGTTCGACCATCAAGAAACCGATCCCTTCGTCAGAGAGGTACCCTCCTCTGAAACGGCCCTGTTGGTGGATGGGCACAAGTGTGGCCAGTCCCCCTTTTGTGGGTCTGGGGCCCTCAACCGGGGGGAGGAAAGTATGGTACCCTCTGGCGAGAGCCTCGATGCGCAGTTTTTTGGCACCTTCATCTCCCAGGTGCAGCTCCTGGATGAGAAGGGGCCCTTTTTGCGGCTGGTGCCATTTGAGAATATCCGAAGTCCACGTTGTGATGTTGGCACTAACAAACACAACGGGCTCTTGGCATCGCTGGTGCCCTTGGGCCGCGAGGTCGTTCAGGAAAGCCGCGGCGGTGATGGGGTCCAGCCACGATTGGCCTTGCATGGCCTCGAGAATCTCGTAGGAGACCCGGTAGCCCAAGCTGGCCTCGTCAGCTCCTTCCAGGGCCTCAGCGAGGGCTAGAGCCTGGGGTTCGGACTTACTCCAGTCGTTGTTCGTCCGAAGCTCATCCGCAAGCCCTGCAGCAAGGGCCTGAACTGGATTTGCCTCAGGCTCGAGGTCAGGGAGGGGCTTGCCCACGTTCCCCCGGGTGCTAGGCCTACGCTTCCTAAGTCTCGCAGGAGACCGACCAGGGGGGGTATGGGGCCTCCGCCCTGGGTCGCCAGGGGGGGAAGGGGGCGAAGTGAGGCCCTGTTCCTTCGGTCTGGCGCTGGGAGGCTCAGGCCCAGGAGGCCAGGAGTGCCAAAAAAGAGAATTGGCCTGTTGCTGCCTCCTAGCCCGGTGGGCAGCTCGATGTTTTCGGGTGGACTCCCAGAGGAAGTCCTGCTGCACTTTACGCCGCCCTGGCGGGGGTTGTGGGTGGGGTGAACCCCGAACCCGTGGAGGCCACATTGCCCCTTGGCAGCACCTCCAAGGTACCACTTGGGGCGGAGGCCTCCTGCTCAGGGTCCAGGGCCCAACCGGTTGGAAAAAATTTTGGCCCAGAGAGCCTGGGGAAATCCTGGGCGCTCTGGTTGTCCGAACACGTTGGCGTGAGGACTCCCTGCGACGCCAGGGTTGAAGAAAAGGGGGTGGTTAACCCACGACCCCTAATCAAAAGACCGGGCCCAGGCCTCAAGGGACGAGGCTGGTAGGGCGCCCTGAAAACTCGGGCAGGCGCTGACTCCCAACGCAACGCCGTCGGGGTTTTTTGAAAGACTTTGCAACACGCGCAAAACAAGTGAGGGCTGCCTAGGTCGTGCAGATCACTCTTGCAAAACTTGCAAAAAACTCTACTCTTGTGTGACACCTGGCCAAGGTAGGGTGGCGGACCACTCCCCCTCGGTAAAAGAGCAAGTTGGTTGCTGGATAAGGCCTGCAAAACCTCCAATGACGAACGGAGAAGGGCCTGATGGGGCGGCTGCCCTTGCAAAATCTGCCTGGGGGCCCGTGGCCCAGAAAGGGCCAGGGGGATGGCAGGGTTCCCCTGGCCTAGGCGCCCCTATTCGGGGTTGTCGCTGCCTGCAGCTCCCTCTTCCAAAGGAGTGGGGCGCTTCCCATGCGGATCGGTGCGGGCAGGCCCGTACATGGGGGGCATCTCCCGAGGGAAGTACTCATCATGCCCTCTGAAACTCACAATGAAGGGGTCCGGAGGGAGGTCCTCCTTCCCGACCAGGGCAGCCTTCATCTTGGCGCGGGTGGCTTCATTGAGCTCGTGGCCGGCCTCCGAAAGGACCGCCTCCAGGGCGCTGAAGGCGGTGCTGGTGGAGTCCGCCGTCATCTCCTTGAAAGCCTTGGCCGTCTCCTGGATCTCGACATCCTTGGCCTTGATGTCCTTGTCGACCTGGTCCACGTCCCCAATGAGCTTTTCCAGCTCCTGCTTGAGCTTGTCCGCTCGTGCCTGGAGCTTGGCCTTCTTCTCCACCAGATTCTTCATCTGGTTGGTGGCCTTCTTGAAGTCGCTGACACACCTGGTCAGCTTTTCTTGGGGCGTGGGTTCTGGCCGGTCGAGGTCCTCATCTGGTGGAGGGGGGATCCCCGCGGCCTCCAAAAGGGTCTGGACGTGGAGCCCTGCCCCCGCGTAGACCACGGCCCTGGCAGCGTTGTACTCCTTCTCGGTCATCCTACCCTTAAGGAGGGACTGGAGGTCCAGTCCTGGCGGGGGTGGCGGTGGCCCTTTCGGCCGAGGTGGGCTGTACCCGACCTCCTGAAAGGCTTTCTGGGCAGCCTCTGGTAGGTCTTTCCAAAGACCCGCGAGTACCGCGCCGACTTTGCCACCTGGAGGGTTCTTAGAACCCTTTCCCTCTCCTTTTCCCTTGCCTTTGGTGCGACCGTCCTCCCAGACAGCTCGGGGGCTCTGGGAGTTCTCGGTACGGGCTTCCTTGTTTGCTTGCTGCTTTGCCAGCTGCTTCTGCCAGTTTCTGCCGCAGTACGCACAGTGGGTATTTTCCCCTGACTCAACCTGGCGTTTCCAAGCCCAGTGGTACCCACAGGCGCACGGGATCCACTTGGGAGTGCGCGGCATGGCTGTCAGTTGGTGTGGAAACCACTACCAGAAGTAGTGGCTGCAGGAAACAAGCAAGGAGTGGTGCCCACTTCCAAGCTCGAGAGGTGCACTCGGCAAGAGGAGGATCGACCTCACTCAGATCGTGCAGTGAACAGCCTACCGGGCCGCCCACCAAACCCTTGCCTGCTGTCAGGCCTACGACCTTTACCAGGTTGGGTTTGGGGCCTCTTTGGAACCTCTAGAAAAGTAGGCCCCAAGGCTGCCACGACGGCACTGCAACGTCTGAGCCGAAAACTTGAGCCAAATGGGATTTTCTCGCACACGCTTCGCAGAAGCAGCCCGTAGGCTTGTCCGACATGCACATATTAACTCCAAGTATTTTGGAGTCATCCGCATTTGCGGGCATCGCCAAAGTGGCGGCAGTGGCTACTCCTACCCTGAAGTGCAGGCTACCTGACCTACCTGAGCTACTGGCAGGAGTGGGTAGCCACTTCCTGGGAGTGGGGAGCCACATCCCAGTGAAACACGAAAGTCCTACAGGGAGGGAGCCTCACCCGGAGGGGAGGAAACCTTTCGCCCTGCAGAGCATCCTGTCTATGCACAGGAGAGGGGAGGCTAGGAGGCCAAAAACCTCCTGACCCTCTCCTGATGCCCGGGGGTCATGAAAATGGGCTTGCATATGTTCGATTGTAGGGCACCCGACCCTACAAGCGTAACAAAAAAGCCCATCCGGGCTGTTGACTGCACGGTGGGGTCCATACGAGGGTGGTGCCACCACATCCTCTGCAAGAGTCACATCCTCGGGGGAAGGCTCTTGAGGGGGGGGGCACCCCGTCCCTCCTGTAGACCCCGCAGCCTCGCTGAGGGTTGGACCGCTGGCCTCGGGGACCTCTGGCTGCGGGGCCGAAGGCCCAGTAGCCATGAGGGTCCTTTCACGGGCGATCCAACGCGCCTCCGGCGGTTGGCGACACTCTATGTCGAGGCGCATGAACTGTGTCGCCGCCGGGGCACCGCCTGGGACATCGCCCCTGTTTCTCTTACGAGGGGCTGCGCCTCCCTCGGGAGGGTGGGGAGGGGAGGCTCCTCAACCCTGGGTGCACTGGCAGGTGCCGGGTTGCTAGGAGGAGCTTTGGGAGACGCGAGGTTTCCCTGCTCCCTCTGGGTCCCCTCCCTTGGGCCGGGGTGTTAGGTGGCGCCTTCTGAGGCGCAGGCTCCCGCACAGTTGCTGTGAAGCGGGTCCTGCGAAGAGGTGTGTCGGGTGGAGGCGGGACCATGTGTTCCTTCCTTGACCCTGGAAGGGGAGGTTGAGCCTGTTGAGACCGGAGCCCCGGATACGGGGTCATCCTTGGTGGTGGTCTCGTCTTTGGCGGGCACCTCCTCCATGGGTGCAGCTGTAGGCACCTCGGTGGCCTCCTGGTCGGAGGGTGCCTTCACGGCACTGAGACCCGGCGCAGCAGAGGGTGGGTCAGGCTCCATCTCCTCTCCAGAGCTGCTGGGTGGGTCGTTGGCTGACGACTTTACCGCCGTCGTTTTCTGAACGATGCGGCGGGACCAGGGCAGCATCTCTTCCTGGTCTTCTGGCTCCTAAGGCTCCGTCGGTGCCGTCGGGGGGCTGCTCTCGGAGCTCTCCGTGGAGCTTGTTGAGGCTTTCACAGCCTTTGCCGCCCCTTTGCTGTTGCCGCCAGTCCGCCTGGAAGGCGGAGGGGTGCGGACTCTAGGCGGCTTGCCGTCCAGCGAGGCCTTGGGAGGGTTGGACCCATCCCTTTCGGCCTTTAGGGCCTCCCTCTGGCTGCGAGGGGGACGCTTTCGGTTCCGCACAAAGCTGGAAACCGAAACCCGCCTCGCATCGGGGTTTTTCTTGGCACGCTCGTCCACGTGCTTCCGGTAGGCCTGGACGAGGGCCTTGTCCTCCCTATGGACGGAGGGCTGTTTGCCTCGCCCTTTTGAAGGGGTGGAACGACCACGCCCTTCAGAGGAGGCGGGTGGGATGTCCCTGGACCCGCTGGCACCGGTGTCGCCAGCCTGGTCGGTCCAGTCCCACTCGTCCCACCAACCTTGCCAGTCCTGCCAGCCGGTGGTGGGACCATCAGAGCCGCCGGTATCACCACAAGCTCCCGAGTTGGAGCTGTGACCGGCGGTCTGATCTGCTGGGGGCTCGGCTGGGGGCTCCCAGAAATCAGCCCCAAACGGTTCTGGTCCGTTCCAAACCATTCGCCAGACCCATCCAGGAGTGGTAGCACCACCTCCTTTCCCATTCCCAGCCCATCTCGAAAAGTGAGAGGGCTAAGGCCGGGGAAGCGAGAGGTGCTCGTGGGCCATGGCTGCAGCTACTGCGCTTTAAAGGCTTGGGGAAAAACAGCGTCAGAGGTAGGTGTTTGCGTCCCAGGTGACTAGGGGGAAAAGGGCCCTAAAGGAAAAGCGCCTACAAAAGGCTACGGCTTCCCTAAGGCTTCCCACCTTGGGCCCAGAACTGCCGGAGCTTAGGTTGAGTCACAGGCTTGGGCTTCGGCTTGGGCTTCGGGGTGGGTGCAGCAGACCCTTCCCCAACATCACCAACGGACACAGGAGCCTAGGGGGGCCTTGGGTTGACCTGAGAAAAAAGGGGCTAGGGCGGAGGACTTGGAGCCTGAGGGTCTAGGGGCCCTGCAACCAGACGCTCGTGCGGGATTCCGCTCTCTCTCCCCAGGTTTTTCCTTTTCCCGGTCGTGGTGCCCAGAGGTCTCTATGTGGGCCTCCCTCGCGGTGTGGGAACCACTACCGCTGACCCTAAAGGCCCTCAAGCTGGCCTGAGGGGATGACTCGGGCTCCCTCAGCGCAGGGGAGGGAACCTCGGACCTCTGCCCGGCGGTGGTCTCGCAGGGAGGCTCGAGGCCCGTTTGGCCTTTGTGCTAGGTGCCACCTGAGTGGTAGCAGGCGGGCCGTGGTCAGCAACTTTCGGAGCAGGCTGGGTGTTCCTGCCTTTTTTGCTTTTGCCTTTGGAGGAAGACTGTTCCCGGGTGCGACAAGGCTGAGGGGAGGGGTCCTCAACCCTCGCAGCACCACTAGGGCCAGCAACCGAGCCTGGATTGTGAGGGCGACCCCCCTGGAAAGAACCGGATCCCTCTTTCTCTGCACGTCCTAGCACCTTCTGGAGAGTGTCCTGGGTGGACGTCTCCTTAAGGTATTTGGCCGCCCATTGGGTGCCACGTTTTTTGTGGGCGCGGGAGGCCCCCTCACACTGCGATTTGGCCACAGCCGTGGGGTTAAGCTGCCCTGGCTTGTGGACCGCATAGCATTTAGTGCAAAGGAGGACCGCCCCCATGCAGTAGAAAGAGTGGGACGCGTGCAGGCCAAAGTTGCTGAGATCGGGCAGCGGCCGGTGAGCGCACGGCTGGGCCTCCAGACGCCGGAAGGCCTCGGAAGGGTGGGTTTGCTGGATAAAGAGGGAACAAACCTTACAAACCAGGGAGTGGTTGTTGGGGTTCGTATGGCTCCACTCGAATTGGTGCCCATGGTGGCCTTCCCCTGCCATTAGGGCTTCCAGGCGTTGTTTTTTGTTAATGCCCCCATCCGCGCCAGGTCGATGCTGCCTCTGAGGGGGTTTGGCCTGTTTCGTCTTAAGCCTGGCATCAGGGCGGGGAGACCCCTTGCCCTTCCCCGGGCTGTCACCGACGGCCTCCCATGGGGGCCTGTCGGTACTCAGGAGTAGCACTTCGGCTTTGCGTTGGAGGTGTTGCGCCACCTCTCGCGCCAAATCATCTGCAGGGGATGGATCCCACTGTGGTAAGTGGGCGATGGCGGCTAGCACAGCTTCGCCGCATGCGGCGTCAGCCTGGGCATTAATAGTCCGGCGCCAGCTCTGGTCGGGGCCGAATTCAGCCGCGTGCTCAGCCTCCGTGGTGTGGGACCTGGTCCACGTGACTTGCGCCAGAGACGCATTATCAAGGGCCTGGGCCCATACCCATGGCTTGACAGCGCGTGACTGCTGCTTGGCCACCGCACTACAGTCGGAGGTGCAATCTGCCCGCTCCTCCAAGTGCGAGGTGAGCCTTGCGACCGCGAAGCATTCCCCTTCGCACACAGAACTCCCCGATGGAGGAGGCCAGTGAGTTGGCCAACCTGGAGAGGGGCACCCTCCGTCCAGGTGAACGCGCAGATGGCCCAGGCCACTATCCTGCCCCTGGCGTCGGCCGCGTAGGGCCCGCCGGAGGCGTCCGTCGAATAGAAAAGCCCCTTTGGCCACTTGGCCTCTTTGCAGACACCAACGGCCCGCTCCGACTGTGGGCCCCAGCAGTACCCCTGAAGCTGGGTGGCCTGAGCTGGCATCAGGCCCCGTTCCCATAAGCAGTCGAAGGGGAACTGGGCAGTGAGGCGTTCCCAGTGTTTGGGAGGGGGGGGTGCCTTGCCACGCCACCATCTGCACCCGGTGGCGACGTGGTGCTGGGTGAGGGGCACCTTGCACGGGGCATTGCTGGGACATGCCGGTTTTTCAGAGCTCCCTGCCAGGCCATTCTCAGGGCGGCAGACTTAATCCGCGGGGCCTTTTTCACAAGGGTTGTGGGGACCGTCGTATCCACACCTGAGGCCAGACTGCTGCAACCCGTTTGGGTGCTGATGGCCTTCCACCGGGCCTTGTGGCAGGCGCTGGTCAGGCAAGAGAGGATGGCGGACCAGTGCCTCCGTAGGAGGGGGTTGAGGGCCACCATCCCTAGGTCCTCAGGGACCCCAGCCAAGGTAGCTGGACACAGGTCGGCGGGGAATAACCAACGGTCCGGGGTGGGAGCCACAAGCCCGAGATCCAGCAGATAGGCTATCATGGCCCCCAGCGGTCCACAGACCACTCGCCATCTGTCTTTCCTTTGGAGCTGGGTAGTGAGCTGCGCCCATGTGCGGTCCAGCTGCTCACGGTCAGGGAGGCGGACCATCACCCGACAGAGGGCCTTAAAGTGCTGTGTGACCACTGCCACCCGGGGGTCCTTTACCAGCCAGGCGCCAAGTTCCAGCGCGATTTCGACGCTGCCCGTTCCGACCTTGCCAGCGATGGCGGCAGCTTGGAGACGCACCGATTTCATAGTTTTGGGGCTCACCCCTTGGGCCTGGTGTCCCCAGATCCCCGATGCCAGCACGGACATGGAAAACACCCGGCTGCTGGCCTTGATGTTGCGGACCTTGAGGCTGCGTAGCTTGCCCAGTCTGGCATTGGCTTTAGTCCGCCGCGCCGTGGAGAGGCGGGTGCACCGTCTCCTGCCAGCTGACAGCGTCATGCCCAGGTCTTTGGCAACACTCTGAATGGGGGGGTCACCCTCACCCAACTTTCGCCGCAAGGCGCGCTCGGCTAGGGGACTGCTCGCCAGGAAATAGGTCTTGCCGATAGATACCTGGTACCCAGCGGCGGAAAGCGAGGCATGAAGCCGTCTGAAGACCCTAATGACTGAGTTCGCTGCTTGGTCCGGGCTGTGATGTTCAGTATCTACCGTGATGTCGTCTATCCACGTATCTACGTGGTTGACATGCGGTCCAGAGCAACACTGCCGAATCGGCTCGCCCACAGCGAGTTTACTCAGGGTAGGGGCTAATGGGCAGCCCGCTATAATTCCGCGGCGAGCGAAAGCAACGGGCGACGCGACTTCGTCGGAAAGGATCACTCTGCCGCCGCGATACGATTCCATAGCAAGGAAAAGCAAAAGGTCCGGGAATCCGGCCGTGAGCGCGGCGTCGCAGAGAGTGGAGTGAACCACAGTCTCATAAAAGGTACTCAAGTCGACAAACAACGAGCACCGATGCAGACCGTCGACGCGCGCGGCTTCGTAGCAGACGCCTCTCCGGAGTGAGGCATCGTAGGTGGAGCGCTCCGGCAAAGCGCAGTCCCACCAAAGCTCAGCGCGATAGTCGCGAAGCCACGCTTCAACTAGGTGCCATCTTGCCTTCATCCCAAGCTTCAGGAGCGAAGACATCAAACCAATCGGTCTTTCGATTTTCTCGTTTTTAGCGAGCATCGTGAAGATGGTGAATGTCATCTGCTGTGGCACCTCTCCCGTGGTTTCGATTTCCCTCCAAAACGAGGCCAGGGAGGAAACCTCACCCGGTGTCAGGGCTTTGAGCAGCTCTAGGGACCAGCCGTCCGCACCCGCCGCTTTTAAGGGCAGGCGACGAATGAGCCGCTGGAACTCCTCCCCAGTGACAGCCGGGAGTCTCTGGGCTTGAGCAATGGCCCGTTCTTTAAGGCCCTGGATGGGAGGAGGAGGCTGGCCCTTCGACTCCCAAAGGCGAGCCCACTGCTGCAGTCGGAGGTAGGGCCGGGCTTCAGCCGGTTCGTCCACGAATGGGCGGGCAACCTCAGCCTCCTGCTTTTTGACCGTACGAAAGAGCGGCCGAAGGCCTTTCACAGAGGCTCCAGTAAGCCACTCCTGGTAGTCCCGTGTCTCGCGGGACCTGGACTCTTCGATGGCGGCCTGGCACATGCTCCTGACAACAGCGCGGATCCCGGCCCGGGAGTCACCCTTGGTTTCCCCGTTGCAGAGCACCTCTTCCGGGCTGAGGCCGGAGAGGCCGGCACTCTCAAGTTGGGCCTGCAGCACCTCCGTGCACGACGGTGGGAAACACCGTCGTAGGGCCTCGAAGCGGGCTTTGCTGGTGCCTGGGTTGTCCCAGGCGAGTTGCAGTTTCTGCCACCAGGCCGCCTCCTTGCCGTGCCACGGGTAGCCCTCCTTCGGTTGCATGAGGGGTTTGTACACGAAGGGCCGGGTGCACCCACGCCCACCAGGTTTGGTGAAGTGTTCAACCTCAAACCGGTGAGTGAGTTCGGCGAATTTGCGGTTGACCAGAGTGCCCTGGATCACCTCCGACCCGAAAGCACCAAGCAAAGGGCCGCCACCGGGGGTTAGCTGAGACAAGGTCGAGTCCTGGGTGAGGCTGTCAGTCCGACCGGTGGCCCCGGTTTGGGGATCAGTGCTGTCTGTTTTGAGCACCCCAGGAAACGCTGGAAGTTGCCTCAAGGCGACTTGGCCCCCGGGGGTGTTAAAACAGCACTCCAGGGCAGCGTGAGGCCGGAAGGGCACTTGCCAACTGGCAGCACAGGTAAACAGGGAAGCGACACTGGTGGAAACCAGGGCGAAATCAAGACAGTTACCTGTAGTTATCGTCGCCTCCGGAGGTGCGACGATCCGCCCACGAAAGGCCTCAGGCAGGGTGGTCTCCGCCAGCTCCTGCGAAGGGAAATTCCAGTCCCCAACCACAATCCAGTTGGAATTTTGGCGCAGGAGGGGCTTCAATCGGGCAAGGACTTCCGGGTTGGGCGCCCCAGTGATGCCAACGCCTGATTTTAGGTACAGGTTGACCAAAAGGATGGAGTGGCGAACTCTGGGGAGTTCGACCATCAAGAAACCGATCCCTTCGTCAGAGAGGTACCCTCCTCTGAAACGGCCCTGTTGGTGGATGGGCACAAGTGTGGCCAGTCCCCCTTTTGTGGGTCTGGGGCCCTCAACCGGGGGGAGGAAAGTATGGTACCCTCTGGCGAGAGCCTCGATGCGCAGTTTTTTGGCACCTTCATCTCCCAGGTGCAGCTCCTGGATGAGAAGGGGCCCTTTTTGCGGCTGGTGCCATTTGAGAATATCCGAAGTCCACGTTGTGATGTTGGCACTAACAAACACAACGGGCTCTTGGCATCGCTGGTGCCCTTGGGCCGCGAGGTCGTTCAGGAAAGCCGCGGCGGTGATGGGGTCCAGCCACGATTGGCCTTGCATGGCCTCGAGAATCTCGTAGGAGACCCGGTAGCCCAAGCTGGCCTCGTCAGCTCCTTCCAGGGCCTTCGGACTTACTCCAGTCGTTGTTCGTCCGAAGCTCATCCGCAAGCCCTGCAGCAAGGGCCTGAACTGGATTTGCCTCAGGCTCGAGGTCAGGGAGGGGCTTGCCCACGTTCCCCCGAATCCTAGGCCTACGCTTCCTAAGTCTCGCAGGAGACCGACCAGGGGGGGTATGGGGCCTCCGCCCTGGGTCGCCAGGGGGGGAAGGGGGCGAAGTGAGGCCCTGTTCCTTCGGTCTGGCGCTGGGAGGCTCAGGCCCAGGAGGCCAGGAGTGCCAAAAAAGAGAATTGGCCTGTTGCTGCCTCCTAGCCCGGTGGGCAGCTCGATGTTTTCGGGTGGACTCCCAGAGGAAGTCCTGCTGCACTTTACGCCGCCCACGTGGGCCGTGAGCCGTGCTACGAACCCCGCGAGACGGGCTGATGTCAAGGGCCTTGGCCAAACACAGCACCGGCCTGGCGGGGGTTGTGGGTGGGGTGAACCCCGAACCCGTGGAGGCCACATTGCCCCTTGGCAGCACCTCCAAGGTTGGGGCGGAGGCCTCCTGCTCAGGGTCCAGGGCCCAACCGGTTGGAAAAAATTTTGGCCCAGAGAGCCTGGGGAAATCCTGGGCGCTCTGGTTGTCCGAACACGTTGGCGTGAGGACTCCCTGCGACGCCAGGGTTGAAGAAAAGGGGGTGGTTAACCCACGACCCCTAATCAAAAGACCGGGCCCAGGCCTCAAGGGACGAGGCTGGTAGGGCGCCCTGAAAACTCGGGCAGGCGCTGACTCCCAACGCAACGCCGTCGGGGTTTTTTGAAAGACTTTGCAACACGCGCAAAACAAGTGAGGGCTGCCTAGGTCGTGCAGATCACTCTTGCAAAACTTGCAAAAAACTCTACTCTTGTGTGACACCTGGCCAAGGTAGGGTGGCGGACCACTCCCCCTCCATAAAAGAGCAAGTTGGTTGCTGGATAAGGCCTGCAAAACCTCCAATGACGAACGGAGAAGGGCCTGATGGGGCGGCTGCCCTTGCAAAATCTGCCTGGGGGCCCGTGGCCCAGAAAGGGCCAGGGGGATGGCAGGGTTCCCCTGGCCTAGGCGCCCCTATTCGGGGGCCTGCAGCTCCCTCTGGCTTCGTCCCTTCCAAAGGAGTGGGGCGCTTCCCATGCGGATCGGTGCGGGCAGGCCCGTACATGGGGGGCATCTCCCGAGGGAAGTACTCATCATGCCCTCTGAAACTCACAATGAAGGGGTCCGGAGGGAGGTCCTCCTTCCCGACCAGGGCAGCCTTCATCTTGGCGCGGGTGGCTTCATTGAGCTCGTGGCCGGCCTCCGAAAGGACCGCCTCCAGGGCGCTGAAGGCGGTGCTGGTGGAGTCCGCCGTCATCTCCTTGAAAGCCTTGGCCGTCTCCTGGATCTCGACATCCTTGGCCTTGATGTCCTTGTCGACCTGGTCCACGTCCCCAATGAGCTTTTCCAGCTCCTGCTTGAGCTTGTCCGCTCGTGCCTGGAGCTTGGCCTTCTTCTCCACCAGATTCTTCATCTGGTTGGTGGCCTTCTTGAAGTCGCTGACACACCTGGTCAGCTTTTCTTGGGGCGTGGGTTCTGGCCGGTCGAGGTCCTCATCTGGTGGAGGGGGGATCCCCGCGGCCTCCAAAAGGGTCTGGACGTGGAGCCCTGCCCCCGCGTAGACCACGGCCCTGGCAGCGTTGTACTCCTTCTCGGTCATCCTACCCTTAAGGAGGGACTGGAGGTCCAGTCCTGGCGGGGGTGGCGGTGGCCCTTTCGGCCGAGGTGGGCTGTACCCGACCTCCTGAAAGGCTTTCTGGGCAGCCTCTGGTAGGTCTTTCCAAAGACCCGCGAGTACCGCGCCGACTTTGCCACCTGGAGGGTTCTTAGAACCCTTTCCCTCTCCTTTTCCCTTGCCTTTGGTGCGACCGTCCTCCCAGACAGCTCGGGGGCTCTGGGAGTTCTCGGTACGGGCTTCCTTGTTTGCTTGCTGCTTTGCCAGCTGCTTCTGCCAGTTTCTGCCGCAGTACGCACAGTGGGTATTTTCCCCTGACTCAACCTGGCGTTTCCAAGCCCAGTGGTACCCACAGGCGCACGGGATCCACTTGGGAGTGCGCGGCATGGCTGTCAGTTGGTGTGGAAACCACTACCAGAAGTAGTGGCTGCAGGAAACAAGCAAGGAGTGGTGCCCACTTCCAAGCTCGAGAGGTGCACTCGGCAAGAGGAGGATCGACCTCACTCAGATCGTGCAGTGAACAGCCTACCGGGCCGCCCACCAAACCCTTGCCTGCTGTCAGGCCTACGACCTTTACCAGGTTGGGTTTGGGGCCTCTTTGGAACCTCTAGAAAAGTAGGCCCCAAGGCTGGCCACGACGGCACTGCAACGTCTGAGCCGAAAACTTGAGCCAAATGGGATTTTCTCGTCTTGGGCGAACAAGTCGCTGCCAGGCCATTGGCCGGCGGTGGGTGACACGTATTCCTAACAACTAAACCAAACAACTGTACACTAAGTCGGGTAAGCAGCACTATACAAGCCGACTCGCGTTCTCGCTCTTACTAACGAGTCCAACCAACAGGCTGTCCACTTGCAGGGACCAACCTTCTCTACGGCACTCACCCTGTACAGTTTCAAGGTGCCTGCAGTTCTTTGTCTGCTCACTACCCTGGTAACACCAGACTGTGCGGTAGGCCTGGTCACTTTAGAGGGCTAGTGAGTCTGGTAACACCAGAAGTCCCTGGTAGCACCAGTTCTCGCAGAGAGACTGTGAGTTACTGTTAAGACAGAAGAAGTGGCGCGCACTCTTTCAAAACAAAACTCACGTCATGCGAGCCTGCAGCCTCAGGCCTAGTGCTCTGTTACCTCTTGTTTTCTGCTGTTGCACCTGAGACCCCAGCTGTCTTGCCACTAACTGGGTGCCAAAACCACGTCCTATTTGCCGGTCACACCAGGTTTCCCTGGTAAAAAAGCCTTTATCAAGCATGACACTGGCTTCTCCTGCACTGCACTTGCCAGGCAGCAGGCGATTACATTCCCTCACAATAAGGGCCATGTGGAGACACAAAGGGCCGGAAAGCCAACCCTCCCTAGCCCCGCTCACCCAAACAACTTGCCTACCTAGATGCACGGTCCTTACGTTTTCCGCTCACGCAGGGCTACCACCTTCTCTCCAGTGCCACCTGCGCACCTAGGTCCCTTTTAACCTCTCACACCAGGTTCTTACGTTTTCCTTCGTGCAGGTTTTACCTCTTCCAGGAGGCCCTACCTGCGGCGTGAAAAGGTGTGCGATGAGCAAAGATAAGGAGAGCTAGCCTTCCGCAGCAAGCTCCCTCAAAACCAACAAAGCGCATGCGCCAGAACATACAGCACTTCTCCCAGGCCCTCGTACCAACAGGCACTCCATATTCACAAGGGCGAGAACCCTCCTTGCACCGGGTCTTAACACGACGCCAAAACACATTGGCACGAAGGTAGCCTGAGGCCGGGCTAAGCCTGCAGACTTCCTCCAAGCATTTACCCATGCCAGGACGTAGGCATAGGTTTGTTTCCTCCCTGCACAGTGCGAAATTCCTACCTTGGTACTGGCAAAACGACACCAAGGCGCCCAAAACTTAATACTACCAGAATCATGGGAGGTACGACAGAACTCCTGCCAGCTCACAGCCCGGAAGGAGCGCAGGGGATGAGCGTAGCCAAACTCACCTTTCACAATACTTGCACTTCTGGTAATAGACTTTACTTGTTGTGGAAGCTGCATCGTGTCCAGGTAATCAAAACTGACGCGGGGCTTGGGCCAACCCAGCATACAGTATGAGCCTGTCCGCTTAACTGCCCGAGAGCAACGTGAAGAGTCAGGTGGCCCCTGCTTTCTCGCTCTTACTAACACGGACCAAGTACCCATGCCGGTGCCAGCGCTGGGCACTCTGCTACCTAACCTCACGAATCCCTCCGCAGGCGGAGACGTAGTTCCACCACTCTCGGCTTTGACAAGCATTCCTAAACATCCTAAACCCCCAAACTCACAGGCTGCAGTGTGTTGGGGTCGGCAATGCTCGCTGCTAAACAGGACCTGCAGACCCTGGTGCCCACCAGGTCTTAGACCAGTTACCTGCATTAAAGGACACGAAGGCTTAGCAACACGACTGGTCTGCCACGTCTCAACAGGCACCACCATGAAAGGACATGGTCACCAGTAAAACTTCCAGCCCCAAACGGTCACCACTCTAGCGCCAGTGGTTAGGCAGTTTGGTAGCACCACCACTGTTGCTCAAGGAAAACAGGCACGCCACAAGGCTACACAGACAAGTGCCAAAACTCCTAGCCTTCAAAAACACCAAGCCAAAACTTGGTTGCTAACAACACCGCCTTTCACCAGGTTAAACCCGGGGCGGTTACACCAAAGTGTCCTTTGGTTGGCCTAAAGGGCAGCCTCCATGGCAGCAACTCTAAAACTGGAAAAGCGGGCCTGGAACCCCACACACGGTTAGGCCTCGAACCCGGTTCCGACAGCTACCGCTCCCTACCTGGCCATTTGAGCCGAGACCTTGAGCCAGCCAAATGGGATTTTCTCGCGCACGCTTCGCAGAAGCAGCCCGTAGGCTTGTCCGACATGCACAAATTAACTCCAAGTATTTTGGAGTCATCCGCGTTTGCGGGCATCGCCAAAGTGGCGGCAGTGGCTACTCCTACCCTGAGCTACAGGTTGCCTGACCTACCTGAGCTACTGGCAGGAGTGGGTAGCCACTTCCTGGGAGTGGGGAGCCACATCCCAGTGAAACAGGACGAAAGTCCTACAGGGAGGGAGCCTCACCCGGAGGGGAGGAACCCTTCACCCTGCAGAGCCTCCTGCCTCTGCAAAGGAGAGGGGAGGCTAGGAGGCCAAAAACCTCCTGACCCGCTCCTGATGCCCGGGGGTCATGAAATGGGCTTGCATATGTTCGATTGTGGGGCACCCGACCCTACAAGCGTAACAAAAGAGCCCATCCGGGCTGTGGACTGCACGGTGGGGTCCATACGAGGGTGGTGCCTCCACATCCTCTACAAGAGCTGAATCCGAAGAAGGCTCTTGAGGGGGTCGCCCCTGTTTCTCTTGGCAGGGGCTGCTCCTCCCTCGGGAGGATGGGGAGGAGGAGGGAGGGGAGGAGGCTCCTCAACCCTCGGTGCACTGGCCGTAGGAGACCGGGGGGCCAGCAGGCGGGGTCTCACGGGGGTTTAGGTGGCGCCTCCTGAGGAGCAGGATCCTGCTCACTGGCTGTCGCGGAGGACGTGTCGCGGCTGGTGGCCGGACCACCTGTTCCTTCCTCGACCCTAGAAGGGGAGGTTGAGCCTGTTGAGACCGGATCCCCGGGAAATGGGGTCATCCTTGGTGGTGGTCTCGTCTTTGGCAGGCACCTCCTCCATGGGTGAGGCTGTGGGCACCTCGGTGGCCTCCTGCTCGGAGGGTGCCTTAACGGCACTGGGACCCGGCGCAGCAGAGGGTGGGTCAGGCTCCATCTCCTCTCCAGAGCTGCTGGGTGGGTCGTTGGCTGACCTAGCCCTGGCCGACGACTTTACTGCCGTCGTTTTCTGAACGATACGGCGGGACCAGGGCAGCATCTCTTCCTGGTCTTCGGGCTCCTGGGGCTCTGTCGGTGCCGTCGGGGGGCTGCTCTCGGAGCTTTCCGTGGAGCTTGTGGAGGCTTTCACAGCCTTTGCCGCCCCTTCCTGGAAGGCGGAGGGGTGCGGACTCTGGGCGGCTTGCCCTCCACCAACACCTTGGGAGGGTCGGACCCTTCCCTTTCGGCCTTTACAGCCTCCTCTGGCTGCGAGGGGGACGTTTCCGGTTCCGCACAAAGCTGGAAACCGAAACCCGCCTCGCATCGGGGTTTTTCTTGGCACGCTCGTCCACATGCTTCCGGTAGGCCTGGACGAGGGCCTTGTCCTCCCTGTGGACGGAGGGCTGTTTGCCTCGCCCTTTTGAAGGGGTGGAGCGACCACGCCCTTCAGAGGAGGCGGGTGGGACGTCCCTGGACCCGCTGGCACCGGTGTCGCCAGCCTGGTCGGTCCAGTCCCACTCTTCCCACCAACCTTGCCAGTCCTGCCACCCGGTGGTGGGACCATCAGAGCCGCCGGTATCACCACAAGCTCCCGAGGAGCTGTGACCGGCGGTCTGATCTGCTGAGGGCTCGGCTGGGGGCTCCCAGAAGTCAGCCCCAAACGGTTCTGGTCCGTTCCAAACCATTCGCCAGACCCATCTCCAGGAGTGGTAGCACCACCTCCTTTCCCATTCCCAGCCCATCTCGACAGGGAGAGGGCTAAGGCCGGGGAAGCGAGAGGTGCGCGCGGGCCATGGCTGCAGCTACTGCGCTTAAGAAGCTTGGGGAAAACTGCGACTGAGGAAGGTGTTAGCGCCCCAGGTGACTAGGGGGGGAAAGGGCCCTAAAAGGAGAAGTGCCTACAAAGGCTACGGCTTCCCTAAGGCTTCCCACCTTGGGCCCAGAACTGCCGGAGCTTAGGTTGATTCACAGGCTTGGGCTTCGGCTTGGGTTTCGGGGTGGGTGCAGCTGTCCCTTCCCCAACATCACCAGCAGACACAGAAGCCTCGGGGGCCTTGGGTTGACCTGAGAAAAAAGGGGCTAGGGCGGAGGACTTGGAGCCTGAGGGTCTAGGGGCCCTGCTACTAGACGCTCGTGCGGGATTCCGCTCTTTCTCCACCGGTTTTTCCTTTTCCTTTTCCTTTTCCCGGTCATGGTGCCCAGAGGTCTCTATATGGACCTCTCGCGCGGTGTGGGAGCCACTACCACTGATCCTAGAGGCCCTCAAGTTGGCCTGGAGGGGTGGCTCGGGCTCCCTCAGAGCAAGGGAGGGAACCTCGGACCCTCTGCCCGGAGGCAGTCTCGCGGGGAGGCTTGAGGCCCGTTTTGCCTTTGTGCTGGGTGCCACCTGGGTGGTACTTGGTCAGCGGCTTTCGGAACAGGCTGGTTGTTCCTGCCTTTTTTGCTTTTGCCTTTGGAGGAAGACTGTCCCAGGGTGCGAAGAGGCTGAGGGGAGGGGTCCTCAACCCTGTCAGCACCACTAGGGCCAACAAACGGGCCTGGATTGTGAAGGCGACTCCCCTGGGAAAAACCGGGACCCTCATTCCCTGCTCGGCCTAGCACCTTCTGGAGAGTGTCCTGGGTGGACGTCTCCTTGAGGTATTTGGCCGCCCATTGGGTGCCACGTTTTTTGTGGGCGCGGGAGGCCCCCTCGCACTGCGATTTGGCCACAGCCGTGGGGTTAAGCTGCCCTGGCTTGTGGACCGCATAGCATTTGGTGCAAAGGAGGACCGCCCCCATGCAGTAGAAGGAGTGGGACGCGTGCAGGCCAAAGTTGCTGAGATCGGGCAACGGCCGGTGAGCGCACGGCTGTGCCTCCAGACGCCGGAAGGCCTCGGAAGAGTGGGTTTGCTGGATAAAGAGGGAGCAAACCTTACAAACCAAGGAGTGGTTGTTGGGGTTCGTATGGCTCCACTCGAATTGGTGCCCATGGTGGCCTTCCCCTGCCATTAGGGCCTCCAGGCGTTGTTTTTTATTAATACCCCCATCCGCGCCAGGACGATGCTGCCTCTGAGGGGGTTTGGCCTGTTTCGCCTTAAGCCTGGCATCAGGGCGGGGAGACCCCTTGCCCTTTGCCGGGCCGTCACCGACGGCCTCCCAAGGGGGCCTGTCGGTACTCAGAAGGAGCACTTCGGCTTTGCGTTGGAGGTGTTGCGCCACCTCTCGCGCCAAATCATCAGCAGGGGATGGATCCCACTGTGGTAAGTGGGCGATGGCGGCAAGCACAGCTTCGCCACATGCGGCGTCAGCCTGGGCATTAATAGTCCGGCGCCAGCTCTGGTCGGGGCCGAATTCAGCCGCCGGCCTCCGTGGTGTGGGACCTGGTCCACGTGACTTGCGCCAGAGACGCATTTTCAAGCGCCTGGGCCCATACCCATGGCCTGACAGCGCGGGACTGCTGCTTGACCACCGCGCTGCAGTCGGAGGTGCAATCTGCCCGCTCTAACAAGTGCGAGGTGAGCCTTGCGACCGCGAAGCATTCCCCTTCGCACACAGAACTCCCCGGGGGGAGGAGGCCAGTGAGTTGGCCGACCTGGAGAGGGGCACCCTCCGTCCAGGTGAACGCGCAGATGGCCCAGGCCACTATCCTGCCCCTGGCGTCGGCCGCGTAGGGCCCACCAGAGGCGTCCGTTGAGTAGAAAAGCCCCTTTGGCCACTTGGCCTCTTTGCAGACACCAACGGCCCGTTCCGACTGTGGGCCCCAGCAGTACCCCTGCAGCTGGGTGGCCTGAGCAGGCATCAGGCCCCGTTCCCATAAGCAGTCGTAGGGGAACTGGGTAGTGAGGCGTTCCCAATGTTTGGGAGGAGGGGGTGCCTTGCCGCGCCACCATCTGCAGTGGGTGGCGACGTGGTGCTGGGTGAGGGGCACCTTGCACAGGGGGCATAGCTGGCCAGCCTGGACATGCCTGTTTTTCAAAGCTCCCTGCCAGGCCATTCTCAGGGCGGCAGACTTAATCCGCGGGGCCTTTTTCACAAGGGCTGTGGGGACCGTCGTATCCACCCCTGAGGCCAGACTGCTGCACCCCGTTTGGGTGCTGATGGCCTTCCTCCGGGCCTTGCGGCAGGCGCTGGCCAGGCAAGAGAGGATGGCGGACCAGTGCCTCCGTAGGAGGGGGTTGAGGGCCACCATCCCTAGGTCCTCAGGGACCCCTGCCAAGGTAGCTGGACACAGGTCGGCGGGGAATAACCAACGATCCGGGGTGGGAGCCACAAGCCCGAGATCCAGCAGATAGGCTATCATGGCCCCCAGCGGTCCACAGACCACTCGCCATCTGTCTTTCCGCTGGAGCTGGGTAGTGAGCTGCGCCCACGTGCGGTCCAGCTGCTCGCGGTCAGGGAGGCGGACCATCACCCGACAAAGGGCCTTGAAGTGCTGGGTGACAACTGCCACCCTGGGGTCCTTTACCAGCCAGGCGCCCAGTTCCAGCGCGATTTCGACGCTGCCCGTTCCAACCTTGCCAGTGATGGCGGCAGCTTGGAAACGCACCGATTTCATAGTTTTGGGGCTCACCCCTTGGGCCTGGTGTCCCCAGATCCCCGATGCCAGCACGGACATGGAAAACACCCGGCTGCTGGCCTTGATGTTGCGGACCTTAAGGCTGCGTAGCTTGCCCAGTCTGGCGTTGGCTTTAGTCCGCCGCGCCGTGGAGAGGCGAGTGCACCGTCTCCTGCCAGCGGACAGCGTCATGCCCAGGTCTTTGGCAACACTCTGAATGGGGGGGTCACCCTCACCCAACTTTCGCCGCAGGGCGCGCTCGGCAAGGGGACTGCTCGCCAGGAAATAGGTCTTGCCGATAGAGACCTGGTACCCAGCGGCAGAAAGCGAGGCATGAAGCCGTCTGAAGACCCTGATGACTGAGTTCGCTGCTTGGTCCGGGCTGTGATGTTCAGTATCTACCGTGATGTCGTCTATCCACGTATCTACGTGGTTGACATGCGGTCCAGAGCAGCACTGCCGGATCGGCTCGCCCACAGCGAGTTTACTCAGGGTAGGGGCTAATGGGCAGCCCGCTATAATTCCGCGACGAGCGAAAGCAACGGGCGACGCGACTTCGTCGGAAAGGATCACTCTGCCGCCGCGATACGATTCCATAGCGAGGAAAAGTAAAAGGTCCGGGAATCCGGCATTGAGCGCGGCGTCGCAGAGAGTGGAGTGAACCACAGTCTCATAAAAGGTACTCAAGTCGACAAACAAAGAGCACCGATGCAGACCGTCGACGCGCGCGGCTTCGTAGCAGACGCCTCTCCGGAGGGAGGCATCGTAGGTGGAGCGCTCCGGCAAAGCGCAGTCCCACCAAAGCTCAGCGCGATAGTCGCGAAGCCACGCTTCAACAAGGTGCCATCTTGCCTTCATCCCAAGCTTCAGGAGCGAAGACATCAAACCAATCGGTCTTTCGATTTTCTCGTTTTTAGCGAGCATCGTGAAGATGGTGAATGTCATCTGCTGTGGCACCTCTCCCGTGGTTTCGATTTCCCTCCAAAACGAGGCCAGGGAGGAAACCTCACCCGGAGTCAGGGCTTTGAGCAGCTCCAGGGACCAGCCATCCGCACCCGCCGCTTTCAGAGGCAGGCGACGAATGAGTCTCTGGAACTCCTCCCCAGTGACGGCCGGGAGTCTCTGGGCCTGCGCAATGGCCCGTTCTTTAAGGCCCTGAATGGGAGGAGGAGGCTGGCCCTTCGACTCCCAGAGGCGAGCCCACTGCTGCAGACGGAGGTAGGGCCGGGCTTCCGCCGGTTCGTCCATGAATGGGCGGGCAACCTCAGCCTCCTGCTTTTTGACCGTACGGAAAAGCGGTCGGAGGCCTTTCACAGAGGCGCCGGTAAGCCACTCCTGGTAGTCCCGTGTCTCGCGGGACCTGGACTCTTCAATGGCGGCCTGGCACATGCTCCCGGCAAAAGCGCGGATCCCAGCCCGGGAGGCCCCATTGGATTCCCCGTTGCAGAGCACCTCTTCCGGGCTGAGGCCAGAGAGGCCGGCACTCTCAAGTTTGGCCGGCAACCCCTCCATGCAAGACGATGGGAAACACCGCCGTAGGGCCTCGAAGCGGGCCCTGCTGGTGCCTGGGTTGTCCCAGGCAAGTTGCAGTTTTTGCCACCAGGCCGCCTCCTTGCCGTACCACGGGTAGCCCTCCTTCGGCTGCATGAGGGGTTTGTACACGAAGGGCCGGGTGCACCCACGCCCGCCGGGTTTGGTGAAGTGCTCCACCGCGAACCGGTGGGTGAGTTCGGCAAATTGGCGATTGGCCAGAGTGCCCTGGATCACCTCCGACCCGAAAGCACCAAGCATAGGGCTGCCGCCGGGGGTGAACTGAGAAAAGGTCGAATCCTGAGCGAGGCTGTCAGTTCGACTAATGGCCCCCGTTTGGGGCTTCGTGCTGTCCGTTTTGAGCACCCCAGGAAACGCGGGGAGTTGCCTCAAGGCGACCTGGCCCCCGGGGGTGTTGAAACAACACTCCAGGGCAGCGTGAGGCCGGAAGGGCACTTGCCAACTGGCAGCACAGGTAAGCAGGGAAGCGACACTGGTGGAGACCAGGGCGAAATCTAGACAGTTACCTGTGGCGATCGTAGCCTCCGGTGGGGCGACGATCCGCCCACGAAAGGCCTCTGGCAGGGTGGTCTCAGCCAGCTCCTGCGATGGGAAATTCCAGTCCCCGACCACTATCCAGTTGGAATTTTGGCGCAGGAGGGGCTTCAGACGGGCGAGGACTTCCGGGTTGGGCGCCCCAGTGATGCCAACACCTGATTTAAGGTACAGGTTGACCAAGAGGATAGAATGGCGAACCCTGGGGAGTTCGACCAACAAAAAGCCGATCCCTTCGTCAGAGAGGTACCCTCCTCTGAAACGTCCCTGTTGATGGATGGGCACAAGTGTGGCCAGTCCCCCTTTGGTGGGTCTGGGGCCCTCAACCGGGGGGAGGAAAGTATGGTACCCTCTGGCTAAAGCCTCTATGCGCAGTTTTTTGGCACCTTCATCTCCCAAGTGCAGCTCCTGGATGAGAAGGGGCCCTTTTTGCGGCTGGTGCCATTTGAGAATATCCGGAGTCCACGTTGTGATGTTGGCACTGACAAACACAACAGACTCCTGACATCCCTGGTGCCCCTGAGCCGCGAGGTCGTCCAGGAAAGCCGCGGCGGTGATGGGGTCCAGCCACGAGTGGCCTTGCATGGCCTCGAGAATCTCATAAGAGACCCGGTAACCCAAGCTGGCCTCATCGGCTCCTTCCAGGGCCTCAGCGAGGGCTAGAGCCTGGGGTTCGGACTTGCTCCAGTCATTGTGCGTCCGAAGCTCATCTGCGAGCCCTGCAGCAAGGGCCTGAACTGGATTTGCCTTGGGCTCGAGGTCAGGGGGGGGCTTGCCCGCTTTCCCCCGGGTGCTAGGCCTTCGCTTCCTGAGTCTCGGAGGAGACCGACCGGGGCCGCCGCCCTGCGTCACCAGGGGGGGAAGGAGGCGCTGTGAAGCCCTGTTCCTTCGGTCTGGCGCTGGACGGCTCAGGACCAGGAGGCCAGGAGTGCCAGAAAAGAGAATTGGCCTGTTGCTGCCTCCTAGCCCGGTGGGCCGCACGATGTTTTCGGGTGGACTCCCAGAGGAAGTCCTGTTGCACTTTACGCCGCCCACGTAGGCCGTGGGCCAGGCTGCGAACCCCGCGAGACGGGGGATGTGGGTGGGGTGAACCCCGAACCCGTAGGTTCCCCTTTGCCCCTTGGCAGCACCTCCAAGGCACCACTTGGGGCAGGGGGCTCCTGCTCAGGGTCCAGGGCCCATCCGGTTGGAAAAAATTTTGGCCCAGAGAGCCTGGAAAAATCCTGAAATCCTGGGCGCTCTGGTTGTCCGAACACGTTGGCGTGAGGACACCCTGCGACGCCAGGGTTGAAGAAAAGGGGGTGGAAAGCTCACTACCCCTAATCGAAAGGCCGTGCCCAGGCCTCAGGGAAAGAGGCTGGTAGGGCGTCTTGAAACCTCGGGCCGGCGCTGGCTCCCAACGCAACGCCGCCGGGGTTTTATGAAAGACTTTGCATCGCGCGCAAAACAGGTGAGTGCTGCCTAAACCGTGCAGATCACACTTGCAAAACTTGCAAAAAACTCCACTCTTGTTTGACACCTGGCCAAGGTAGGGTGGCGAACCACTCCCCCTCGGTAGAAGAGCAAGTTGGTTACTGGAAAAGGCCTGCAAAACCTCCATTGACGGTCGGAGAAGGGCCTGATTGGGCGGCTGCCCTTGCAAAATCTGCCTGGGGGCCCGTGGCCCAGAAAGGGCCAGGGGGAAGGCAGGGTTCCCCTGGCCTAGGCGCCCCTATTCGGGGTTGTCGCTGCCTGCAGCTCCCTCTGGCTTCGTCCCTTCCAGAGGTGTGGGGCGCTTCCCATGCGGATCGGTGCGGGCAGGCCCGTACATGGGGGGCATCTCCCGAGGGAAGTACTCATCATGCCCTCTGAAACTCACGATGAAGGGGTCCGGGGGGAGGTCCTCCTTCCCGACCAAGGCAGCCTTCATCTTGGCGCGGGTGGCTTCATTGAGCTCGTGGCCGGCCTCCGAAAGGACCGCCTCCAGGGCGCTGAAGGCGGTGCTGGTGGAGTCCGCCGTCATCTCTTTGAAAGCCTTGGCCGTCTCCTGGATCTCGACGTCCTTGGCCTTGATGTCCTTGTCGACCTGGTCCACGTCCCCAATGAGCTTTTCCAGCTCCTGCTTGAGCTTGTCCGCTCGTGCCTGGAGCTTGGCCTTCTTCTCCACCAGATTCTTCATCTGGTTGGTGGCCTTCTTGAAGTCGCTGACACACCTGGTCAGCTTCTCTTGGGGCGTGGGTTCTGGCTGGTCGAGGTCCTCATCCGGTGGAGGGGGGATTCTTGCGGCCTCCAACAGGGTCTGGACGTGGAGTCCTGCCCCCGCGTAGACCACGGCCCTGGCAGCGTTGTACTCCTTCTCGGTCATCCTACCCTTAAGGAGGGACTGTAGGTCCAGTCCTGGTGGTGGTGGCGGCGGCCCTTTCGGCCGAGGTGGGCTGTACCCTACCTCCTGAAAGGCTTTCTGGGCAGCCTCTGGTAGGTCTTTCCAAAGACCCGCAAGCACCGCGCCGACTTTGCCACCTGGAGGGTTCTTAGAACCCTTTCCCTCTCCTTTTCCCTTGCCTTTGGTGCGACCGTCCTCCCAGACAGCTCGGGGGCTCTGGGAGTTCTCGGTACGGGCTTCCTTGCTTGCTTGCTGCTTTGCCAGCTGCTTCTGCCAGTTTCTGGCAGTACGCACAGTGGGTATTTTCCCCCGACTCAACCTGGCGTTTCCAGGCCCAGTGGTACCCACAAGCGCACGGGATCCACTTGGGAGTGCGCGGCATGGCTGCAGCTGGTGTGGAAACCACTACCAGAAGTAGTGGCTGCAGGAAACAAGCAAGGAGTGGTGCCCACTTCCAAGCTCGAGAGGTGCACTCGGCAAGAGGAGGATCGACCTCACTCAGACCGTGCAGTGAACAGCCTACCGGGCCGCCCACCAAACCCTTGCCTGCTGTCAGGCCTACGACCTTTACCAGGTTGGGTTTGGGGACTCTTTGAAGCCTCTAGACAAAGTGGGTCCCAAGGCTAAAAGGCCACGACGGCACTGCAAAGTCTGAGCCGAAATCTTGAGCCAAATGGGATTTTCATTCCGGTGGCGCGAGAAGTCCACGGCCAGAGGCCTGTCCGAAGAAACCCTGAAGCATGCATTAATTAAACTGGCTGTAGCAAAGCCAGGGCTAAGCGAGTACGCCTTGAAAGGCTCCAGTACAACCAGTAGCCTCAAAGCCCTATTCAAAATCGGAAGACTGTACAGGAAGGTGTCTGGCTCAAGTAACCTCAGGCCCCATTGGGCGAGGTAGCGGTTGAGCGACCTTCATAACTAACTCACTTAGCTCAGTTGGCGGCCAAGAAGAAAGGAGACCGTGCAGCTGCAAACCAAAGTAGCTGCAAAACAGGTGTGTCAAGCAGGTTTACACTGTTGCAGTGCAAACAGAGGGATGGGCAGCAGGGTACACACCTGCACACACTGCACACTCTTGCACGGAAGGCCCCCCCCCCCTGTTGACTACACGTACCCTGTACTGGCCCTGCACAAGCTTCAAGAGTACGAGCCTCAGCCCAGCTGGCGAGGCGTGGTCAGAAAACGGGGCTCCTGGGCACCGCAAGCCTCAGCCCAGCTGGCGAGGCGTGGTCCTGTACGAAACAGCGAAGCGGCAAAAGCTTTCGTGTTCCTGCTGTCAGATCTCCTGCTCCTTAAAGACACACCTGAAGAGATTGATCACCTGCCAACTAGCTCTCAAAGCAAAGGCTCAAAGCAAAGGCTGGACACTCGGGCTGACCGGACCGAGGATCCTGCAGAAAACGGGGCTCCTGGGCACCGCAAGCCTGCCAGAGCACGGAGAAGCGGAAGCAGGCAGGCTACGAAGCAAAGGCGATGCTGAAGTACAGTGCTTGAAAACCATTTTGCAGAGCAACAAGGCTGTCACGGCCTGCTGCGGGACCTTTGGTCCAGGTCAGTGCCCAGGCTGAGCTGCACCCTTCCACAGCCTCGGGCCCTCAGCCCTAAGGCGAGGGCCCAGGAGGCAGTGAAAAGCAAAAGTTCAGGCGGCCTTCCACTCGACGGCCAGGGCAGCTTGACTCACCTAGTAGGCTAGTCACCAAGGAAAACTCCCTGCTGTAGCAGGCACCACTTGTAGTGCTGCGTAAGGAGTGGTCGTAGCCGTTGCAGCACCTCCTCAGGCGAGGCGTTGCTGACAAGCTGGAGTAGCTCCTGAAAGTGGTCTGGAACACTCCTCTTGACCGCGCTCCAGAAAGCCGAGGCACGCTGTCTGTTCGGCCAGTGTGCCCTTTGACCCTCCCATGGAAGCCAGTCTGCGGTGTCCCACATCATAATGAAGCCACGGGCATCAACACCAAAGTTGAAAAAGCCAAGATCCTTGAGATTGTAGAAACGGGAGGCCTCCGCAGTCAGTGCCATCATGTAGCGGACCATATCAAGGTCCGGCGGAGCTGGCCTCCACACCGAAAGTGGAGTGAGCCTAGACTGCCTCAAAACATGCGTGGAGATGATATCATAGCAGCTCTTCCAAGAAAGCGTGAGCAGGTGAATACCCGCATCCAAAGTGCACGGCACTATATGAGGGAGCAGTCTCCAAGCTTCCGGTTCTGGCCCGTGACCTTGTGGAGGCGCCAACTTCAGAACGTGTTCCGAGGAGCCAGGGTCAACGTAAACTGTCCGGGACTTTCCGAACCCCAGCCGTCTCGCTCGAGCAGCTTTTGTTCGCCCACCAGTGACAAAGTCATGGTAAACTTCAAGGCTTTCCGGAAGGCACTGGTAGTGGTTCACCGGATGCTTCACCTGGGGCGCAGCTGCACATAAGAAAGTGATTAGGCCATCCTCATGAAGAAGAGGGCCAAAGTCACTTGGGCGATCTTTCAGCGCGACTGCAGGCTGTGGTGTCTCACTGCTGTCAGATTGAAGACAGTTGCTGGAGTCGTCCTGGTCCACCGGTGGCTCTTCAGCTTCTGGAAGTCGTTGCAAAGGTAAGCCTTGGCTGCTGGATGCAGCAGCAGTAGGGGGTGGAGCCCTCAGCCCTAAAGGCGAGGGCTCCTCCCGTGCTGGGCCCTGGCTGCTGGAAGCAGCCGCAGTGGAGGGAGCCCTCAGCCCTGAAGGCGAGGGCTCCTCCAAGTCGTACGGCAGCTCTTCAGCTTCACGATGTCTCGCCTCCGCACGAGGTCCTGGTGGAGGTGGTGGGGGCGGCCAAGCCTCCTCAGTTCTCCTGCCAGCGTGCTCATATTGTTCGCGGCGCTTCTTCTGTTTGCGGGCTTTCTTACGTCCCCGCTGTCGGTCAATCGTCGCCGCTGATTTCCATGATAGTCCCCGCTCCTCACGGCGGAGTTGCGTGGATATGTGCCGCCCTTCTTGCTTGGGCGCCATGCTTAGCAGGCCTTGGGCCTAAAAACGAAGGGTGCGCTGTGTTGGGTCAGCCTTCGGTTTTGTTTTGGGTTTGGGTCTAGCTGGGGCCTTGGGCTTCACTGGCGGAACAGCTGCTGGCATGCCTAACTGAGATCGCAAACCTACAGAAACGGACTGACCAACTGCTCCTTGCACTCCTGTGGACTGAGTGACCTCGCCTTGGCACTCCGGCAACCTTGGGGCAGCCGCTGCAGAGGAGGCGACGGGCCCAGCTGGAGGGTTGACCTGGGCAGCGCTCAAAAGGCCAAGCTTAGGAACTGCAGAAACACGCTCTGGCATAGGGCCGGCACCGAAGGTGCTGGCAGATTGAAAAGCACTGGCAATGGATCGGGTGGAGACTCCACCAACCTGTGCCAAGGCGCAAGCCTTGGTGCCACTGTTTACTTTACGCCCTAAGCCTTTACATGCAGACTGAAGAAGGGACGAGGGCGAGACCGCGCCAAGTTTTATGCAGGCCAAACACTTGGCACACAAAAAGTGAGATCCTCGATTATGCATGTCATGGCTGGGGTGTATTTTCCAACTGGGCGGCACAGCTGCAGCAACACCACGGCGCGGGTGTGTAATTTTGCGATTGAAAACATCAAGCGAATGACATTGTTCAATATATAAATTGCATTTTTCGCAATAAACCGAGAAGTTGTTGGCGGCCTTAGTCTCGCGGGCTTTCCAATCATGACCAAGTGCTGGATCAGGGGAGTCCAGCAACTGCTTCAGGCGCTGTTTTTTGTTAGGTAAAGAACTGTTCTGGGTCGAAACAGTTGTCGCCCTTGCCTTAGATTTCTCAAACTGGCTCTGGGAGTCTCTGGCGGCTCTGGGAACAAAACCTTGCGTCTTGTCCTTAATCAGTTTCTCAGCCCTAGAGGCGAGAAACTGGTTTAGCTCGCGCGCAACCCGGTCCAACTCCTTCACCTTGCGCACAAAGTGAGGCGAAACGGCCTCTGCAGCCCTACGACCCGCCAGGGAGTCAGCCTTTTCGTTGAGTACTCGTCGCCACTGCTGAGAAGGGAACTCCTTCTCGAAGGCTTCGGGAGTGCAGTGGCTCCGTACCCAGGTCGGCTGGGCTCGAGAGCGATCCTGCCAAACAAGCCCCCAGTCCGGATCATGCTGGACGGTGAGCTTGCGGGCCTGCAGCGCCCGGATCGCAGGTTGACAGTCACTCGTGAGGTCGAAGCTGCCTGTGGTTGCTTTGAGTGCTTGAATGATCGCGTAGGCCTCACCTTGAGGCACAGTGCTGCCCGGGGGGAGCAAGCCTGAGATTGTACCGATTTCTTTCAGGCCATCCTCACACTTTTCACATAAGATAACTGCCCAGCCCACGCATCTCAAGCGACTGTCCCTTGTATTGGGTCCTCCGCTGGCATCGGTGGACACAAACAACCCCTCGGCATTTACCGGTGGATGGCAGAAGAGCCCCGTGACTCGAGTTTCGAGCGCTGCGCTAGACAGCTGCGGCGTGGTCCAAGCTCGGGGAACCATACCCCTTAGCCAAAAACACGGCTCCTCATGGCGGCGCTGGAAGCCCCGGAGGTTCGGGCTAAGTTTAGCAGGCGCAAGAGGGCACTCGTAGTAAACATGATGGAGAGAATTTTCAGCGCCACAGGAGCAGTGTGTTAGGCCGCCATTACCCGAGTGCAGGGTGCGTCCTTGCCAAACTGCATGAAAAGCCCATCGTGGGGACGAGGGCTTTGAAGCCTTCAAAAGTTTCCGGTGGACTGACCAGTCGACGCCCTGCTGGGCCCCGTGAGCCGTGGGTACCGCACCAAACCGGAGCGTTCTTTCAAGTGCGACGACCTGAGTGAGGAAGCGACGAACTGACAAGAAAAGGGCAGGATTAGCGACATCAAGCAGAAGAACCCCGCTGCTATGAACCCAGCGCAGAGGATCACTGACATTAATGCGCAAGTCAATGCAGTATTGAACCATGGCGGCGACCGGCCCGGCAACACACTTCCAGCCATGCACGGCCGCTTCCTGTCGCGCCCAAGCCACCTTCCATGTGCGTCCTAGGATCACCCAGCCCTGCGCCGTGGAGGGGCCAAACATACGAAACAGGGCGTCAGCCTGCGCTAGAACAACTGTAAGCAGGGGGTCCTGGCACTGGAAAGACATACAGTCGAGTGACACATCTACCGAACCCCATTTGGACCGTCCGACGTGCCTAGAGATGGAAGAACGGATAACCTTAAGCCGCTTGGGGGAAATCCCCTGTCCCTGACATCCATAGGTCTCGGCCTTGAGGATGGAGGTGGCGTACAGCCTGTGCGCTTTACCCCCAGTACGGAGTCGGTGAAGTTTTTGGTTGCGTGCGCGGCCAACCTTAAAACGTTTCAAGGCTTGTGTTAGTCGTCGGCGTTTGGCGCCTGCTGAATCAACTCCCAGATCGCGGACCAAGTCCGCAACCTGGGGATCGGCATCACCGCGCAGGCTGTTCAAGGCTTTCGTCGCCTGAGCGTTGTTGCATACAAACTTTGTCTTGACTTTGTTGATGCGAAGCTTTTCAACTGACAAAAGCTGTTCCAGCTTCCTGGAAGCTGAGAGAGCAAGGGAGGCTGCGACCTCCGGATCAGCATGTGACACATCAACACTGATGTCGTCTAGCCACAGATCAGCGTGACTAACACCCGGCTGCTGAGAAATGCCCTGCAACGGGGCATGAGTGGTGAGTTTGGCAACCGTGGGCGCGTACGGGCACCCCTGCAAAATGCCCTTTTTGGGCCACAGAGCTACCGTGCTGACGCCTTCTCCGTGGAGACAACGTGGCCCATGATATAACTGAAGACATAATTCCAAAAGCATAGGTGGAAATGCCAAAGCTTTTCCCTGGGCGATCAGGCGGGAAAAATCAATACCATCATAAAAGCCTTCAAGATCAACAAATAAGGTGATGAAGGTGATTTTGCGAAATTTGTGGTCTTCAGCTTTTATCAAACGGGATAATGCTGGGTCAAGTGAGGTGTGCCCTGGTGTAGCAGAGTCGAAAGGAGCACAAGCAGCATACGACTTCAGCCAGCTCTCCAGAAGTGGGCGCCTCAGTTTGCTGTAAACTCTCCAAAGTACCGAAGTGAGCGAAATGGGGCGCTCTTTCTCAGGGGTTTTTGCCAGGAGGGCTACTTGGACCGTTAGCATTTGAAGCGGCAAGGTGAGGTCCGCCTCAACCCGGGAGAAAAGCTCGGCAAGCTGCTTATAGCAGAAGTCAGGGAGATTTCGCAAAGCCCGGTACGACCAACCGTCGAGGCCGCCTTTCTTATTACCTGTGGCCAAGCACACTTTCTTGACCTGTTCCCAAGCCAATGATGGAAGGTCCTGTGCCTGCTGCGAGGCCTCAGCCCTCAAGGCGAGGCGCTCTGCAGAAAATTGGACTTGAGGGGGAACAATTGTCGCATCCCAAATGTGGCTCCAGAATTCCATGCGACAATAGGCTCGGGCCAGAGCTGACTGATCTCTAAAGGGCCGAGCAAGAGTTTGTTCATGGCTTTTAAGAGCTCGGTACACTGGCCCCATACCTGCCGACAGAGCCCCCGACAGCCAAGCTTGATAAGAATTGGCCTGTTCCTTTTGCTGGGCTTGCATGGCAGCTTTGGCTTGCGTCTCAGCTCGCGAGACAAAGATCGTGAGATCACGTTGGTTAGAAACGGCAGCCTCAACTTCCGTTACCCACTGCTTATGCTCGGGAGCAAGATTGGAAAGCAGCAGCAAGACTACCTGGCTAGGACCCCCGGCCTTGAACCTAGTCGCAAGCTGAGTCCAGACCGCGTGTTCTTGCCCAAACCACTGGTAATCCTGGGCTGGCTGTGACACTGCCGGCTGGCGGACCGTGGGCAGGTGAACCCCCCTGCCTGTATTCTTTCCCAACAGACCAGACGCCTCAGCTGTGGCAGAGAACTCCGCAAACGCAAGAGACACGGGGTCACTTGCTTCAATCTCAAGCAAAACGACCTGCTGCGGGGAGACAACCGTCGGTGTCAAAAGGCGCTGGTCATCTGTGATGGGGTCAAAGGAGTCAGCCAGGGTCCTCAGGTTTGGTTGCAGGTCCTGCAGCGGCTTGAGGGGAAGGGTACACATCAGAGCGGCGTGCGGTTTGAAAGGGACATCCCAAACAAGCTCAAGCGAGACATGTGAGGCTAGTCGCGGGTGGACCAGTGCATAATCTAGCTCTGCTGCGGTGCCAGCCGTAGGCATTCCTGTTCCAAGGAGCCGGCCCCTGGTGAGGTCCTCAAGCCTGGTGGCGAGGACCTCACAGGAATCTATGTTCCAGTCCCCCACCACACACCAGGGGCATTTGAGCGAGGCCAGCACGCCATACAGATGGGAAAGGACCACTGTGTTGGTCCGGCCTTCGAAGGAACTACCTGACTCGAGATACAAAGAGATGAGGGCTAAGTCGAAGCCGGTCACCCGGACAGCAATCGCAACAAAGCCACAGCCCGTTTCAGGATCTTGAAAGGTATGAACGTGCCTGGCTTGCAAATGAGCCTTGACACAGACCATCACACCTCCAATTTCGCGCTTACGGGCGGGAGAATGCTGGCCATGCAAATGATAGCCTGCCTTAGCTAGGGCAACCGATTCAGCATGAAAGGCCTTTTCAGAGAGGTGGTGCTCCTGAATCAGGGCTACGTCACACTGCAGTGAAACCAACCACTGCCTGAGCTCTGGTCTCCAGGAGGTCACATTGGCCGAAACGAAAGTAAAGGTACGGGCCCGGCCTCTGGAAGTGGAGTGCACCAGGTCCTCCGAAGCTCTGGCGATGCGAGCCCAGGTTTCAAGGCTATTATCACGGGCCTCGGTGGCCTCCAGGGACCTGAAAAGAGTCCAGTATTCAAGGGTGCCCTCCTGGCTCTGCTCCTCAAGCCCTTCGGCGAGGCGCAATAGGTCAGGCTCATGGTGCCAGTCCGGATGCAGGGCTTTATATGCACTCAGGTTGAGAAGAGAGCCCCAGCCTGACCGACCAAGGCTCTTCCCAACCTTGCACACTGCAGGGGACGGTGAGCCTTGTGGGCCAGGAAAAGGTTCAGCATCCTGTGGGGTTGGCGCAGCATGGTCAAAGCGGGAACCATGCTCTTCCAAGAAAGACATGATCGGTCCCCTGACCAATGGTTTCTTCACAACCTTAGGTTCCGAAGAGGCGCCCTCCTCCGGCGAATGAAACATGGCGGGATGGAAAAACTTTGGGCCAGTCAGGGCACAGCTAGGGGATGGCCAAAAGGGACGGGACACAGTCCTGGGGAAAACAAACCCATCCTCGAGCTGGGCTGGCTGGTCTTGCAAGGGAGATCCGAGCCTCGAACCCGGTGGTGAGGCTACGGCCAGGCCCACGTCAGCACTGCAAATGCTGGCCTGAGCATGTTTTGATGCGTAATTGACATGGATTTCGGCACTGCAAATGCAAAACTGAACTCCCACGGCATTTGGCACGAAAGGGAGGCCACAGTGCCAGCACTTAAAAAAGGTGTTTGACGCGTCAGGGCTTGCGCTTGGCTCCGAAACTTCCAGATCACGCAAAACCTCACTCAGAGAAAGAACCGGAAGACAAAACCCGGGGCCCCCGCGCAACCCCCCACCTGGATCCTAAAGCTCGTCACCCTTGTCACCGCGCTTGGGCGAGCGACTGCGCGCCTTGCCGGACTGGCTGTTCAAGTCCTTAGCGTCTGCGGCGTTTTGCTGGGGTTCGGCGGCCGGGGGTGCCGTAGACTTCGGGAGCAATCCAGGCGGGAAACGATCCTGCTGCTCGGTCTTGCGGCGCTTGGCCTCATCAGCATTGTCCTTCTTCAGAGCAGCGATACTGCGCTTTTGGGCCTCAGTGAGGGTGTCCTCCTCGATACCCAGGGCCTGCAACACAGAATCTACTCCATGACTGGCCTCTTCTGCGCACTGTGTGAGAACCTTAGCTTCATAATCCTGAGTGGCTTTGTTGACCTCAGTCTGTGCTTCCTGGATGGAAGCTTGCAAGTCCTGCATCTTTGTCAGCAGGGCCCTCAGATTGGCCTTGGCCAGGTCAATGTCTTCTTGCAGCTTCAACTTACGCTGGCCAAGGTCGCGCAACTTACCGACGGAGTTGCGCCACTCAACACCTGCAGCCTTGCCTTCCTGCACTGGGTTAGGGACCGGTGCTGCTGGCAGAGCATCCAGGACTTCCTGGGGGAGATCATCACGGTTGCGCTGCAAAAGGCTGAGTAGGTCAACATCTTCCTGCTTCGGGGCCGGCACTTTAAAGCCAGCCTGCTCAAACTGCAAACACACATCTGCAGGCAAGGTGGACCACACCTTCTGAAGGCAGCTTGCTAGCTTAGCTGGCTTCGGCTGCCGAGTTCGAGGTCGCGGCCTGCTAGGTTCTCTCCAAGGTGCCTGCGGTACATCAGCGGGCCAAGGCTTGCCACACCAACTGCACTTCGCAAACTTCTGCACTTTAGAGGCATAAATCCAGCTTGCAGGACCACAGGTTTTGCACACATAGTACCTACCTCCTGCCATGACTGTTCTCTCAGCCCCTGAGGCGAGTGAACAGCCCTCAGCCCTGGAGGCGAGGGCCGGCACCTGCACGCTGGAAAGTGACTGGCAAAATGCCAGCACTGCACAAGTATGGCTCGCGAAAGGATAAGCTGGGATTCCTGTTTGAGTCCTGTTGCCCCAACGACAGTTAAGGCCCAGAGGCTCAGTTGAAAACAGCTACGCTCCCTACGCAGAACACCCACCTCTGAAAGCAGGGCTCGAGCCAGACTTGAGCCAAATGGGATTTTCATTCCAGTGGCGCTTGTCCACGGCCAGAGGCCTGTCCGAAAAGCTGCACCGAATTAAGTGGTATGCACAACCTAGTCCTGCACAGACCCTGGGCGAAGTCAAAAAGACCTCAGCCCCAAGAAAGCACTCTGTCAGAGCCCTACTGTACTGGCAAGGAGAGTGACAAGACTCCTCAAGCCCTTTTTGGGAAAGACAGGTGCTCAAGCCGAACAGTGAGAGGTGAAAGCTGTACAACCTAACTGACACTACCCTCAGTCTGGCACTCAGCTTGCAGTGACCTCAGCCCTGAGGCGAGGTCACTCAGTGAAGCTAGGCGAGGCAACATGCCGTAAAGTGCCTAGCCTCAAGCCCTCACAGCCCAGGGGTTCCTCAACCTCACCTTGCAAGAGCAGCGCCCCTCAATTCGGTACCTTTAGCGCGGGGCCCACGCACTCCCCTCAACAAGGCGCAGGGAGCGACGCTTTCCCTTCAACTCAACTTCGTGCTGGCGCAGGGAACAACGCCCTGCTATGCTCTCTGCGAGTGGAGACTTTGAAGCCCGGGGACTGCTCCCAGTAAACCTGCTGACTGCTCACTAGGGAAAGGGCAAAACTTTGAGGCCCGCACAGCAGGGGACCTTCCCTACCTGAGGGAAAGGAACCAGGCTGTTCCCTGGGAAGCCTCTGACTTCTTCAAGGGAAGGGGCCAAACTGGCAATCTGGACTGCAGATCACAGACTACACAAATGCAAAAACCAAAGCCTATCACCCTTACATCCTCAGCCCAAAGGCGAGGAGTGCAAGAGCGACTGCGGAAAGGCACCTCGCTGCATCAACTTGCCCAGTGAGGAGGTACGAGACACGATCCCTGTCAGCTGCCAGGTGAAACCCATGGCGTGCCTATAAGAACACCCAGAAAACTAATTACTGGGCGAAGGCGGGCAAACCAAGGCAAGGGGAGGGAGCCTACTCAGCCTGTGCTGCCATCCACTGTCAGCAAGCAGACAGCAGGGCGGAGAAACTATCCCTAAAACCAGCCCTAAACCCAAGGCCAGCAGAAGAGCAGTCACAGAGTCAGGGAAGACTGCTCACTGCTGCTAGCGCGCGAGCCTGCTGGGAGGCCACATACATCCCAACAGAAGGCCCAAACCTACCTCAGCCTGCAGGCGAGGCAAACAACTAAGGGCATCCTAAACCCCTAAAGGCGAAAGTCCTCTGCACACGGGCAGCTGACCGAGAACTAACTAGGCTATGCAGGATCACACGCCGGCGCGTGTCCTCACCAAGTGCAGTCAGCAAGCAGGAAGCTGCACACCTAGTGCCTAAAACAACTCACCACCAGCCAAAAGTAGGCGAAACCACGCCGGGAGCGAGCAGGAAGCCACACAGAGTCCCTGCGCCCAGCAGCGACAGCTGCCTACAACAGACGGGGACGTGCTGCAGGGCATAATAAGAGCATGCCTCAAAAGAATCGAGGCGCGGGTTTAGGATGCAGCAAAACCCCTCACAAATGGGATTTTCACACCCCCTCTTGGACTGATGCGGCACCTAGTGTCTTTTGAGCACACTTTACAAGCTCTAGACCTAGCTTTTCAGGATAGAACCCTGAATCTTTTAATTCCACCTGTACATGTTCATGCACTTGGTCACATTCCCTTTTAGGAAACACTTTGACCCATCGTTTACTGTTCGTGGCAAAGTACCACCGTTTAAACACACAGTCGTACGCACAGCGGTCTACCACAATACCCTCAGAAAGCCCCAATTCTGAAGCAACCTGAAGATACCGCGGGTCCTTCCAGAGGTCGTTATGCAGAGGCCACTCTTGAGTCAACAACAAGCGTTCACTCCGAGCAACCGGTTTCAACAAACCTTCAAGAAGTTCCCAAGCACGCTGATGCAACTTCTTCTTCTCTTCCCACTTCTCTTGACTGTACTTGCGCCACCCGCGGTAACGCAAACGAAACCCAGTGGTACAGGGAGTGGAGATATGGCAGTAGATCTTCGTCTTCAAGCCACAACTCAACACAGAAAACAACTCCTTCAGAAAACACTGCGTCTGCTCAGAACAAAAGTCACGCTTTTCAGTGACGCCCACATAGGCAATCTCAAGCTTCTCACATGCCTTCTGTAAGGCACTTTCTTCCTGGCAGAACAGTTCAACGACCACAAAGGTGACCTGGTTCTTCGCCACAGCTTCACACAGTGAAACGTGCTCCTCAGGAACAAAAGAACGGTTTACCGGCTCTTCTGCAGTCAGGCGTTCCAGCTCAAACTCACCCAACTCGTCTTCAAAAGAAACCAAACCGGTTACCTCGTAGAGGTTGTCCAGCTGCTCCTGAAAAACCATACTCTTGGTCAGGCCGTCGGAGGCATTATATGCTCCGGCCACAAACTCGAGGATCACTCTCCCCGACTGAACCATCTGCTGCAGGAAAGCACACCGCAACTCCAGGTGACGAACCCTTCTCAAGAGTCCCTCCATTGAAGCAATCGCCTTTGCCGACTCAGAATCGGTGCAAATCCGGATCCAAAAGCTTCCGGTATCATCCTCCGGCAATCCCTCCAAAAACGACTGTTGAAGCAACCCTGCAAACAAAGCCTCTTTCACAGTCTCTACCAAAGCACTCAATTCAGCCTCGGCACTGCTCAGGGCCACAACCGTCTGTTTACGGCTAAAACTCTTCAGCAGGTTGCACTGCCAGCAGATAATCGCCCCACTCACAGAGGGCAAATGCCAGCTAGCATCACAGAAACAATCGATCACACGCGTACTTTCCGAAGGGCGATAGTTCACCCACTGTGCCGGGATCCGCTGAACCCGATTCCCAAGCGTGAGAATCCAACGCAGCACAGCTCGAATACACGCTTCACTCCTGGAGTCTGGGTTGCTCTGACTCCGGGCCAGAAAACCTACAACAAACTGCAAATCAGCTCTTGTCAAAGCTAGCCACGACAGTTTGCCCAACACGCGCCGGTAGCGCTGATAGGCCTCATGCGTGATCGGGGTGGATTCCAGACTGGTCCACAAACGCTCAAGCTTGGGGAGTTTCGCTCCCTTCGTGATTTGATACTCTTCCGCACAGCTATGGAGCATCCCGGGTTTGAGTCCGAAGTACAAGTCTCCGGTCTTCCTCTGATAAATGTTTCTCCCAAGGAAGGAGATCACCGATTTCTCTCCCGGTTGAAGCTTTCCCGTGCGCTTCATCTTGAACACTTTACTCAGTTCCTCAAACACTTTCTCAGCTACACTCGCAACCGTGCTGAAAACCAAGATGTCATCTACATAGGCCAACACCAACACAATGGCATCCTTGCCTTTCTCCTTGATCACCTTGCGATACACAGTGCTATCAGCTGTAACAAAGAAACCACGTTTTCTCAGTGTTTCTCCTAGCTCACGAAACCAAGCCAAAGGCCCAATCCGCAAACCATTCATGGCACGCTTCAGCAGACAATGCACACGTTCACCTGACACTGTCCTACAGTTCTCCGGCAGCTTCACAACCTCAGTAGAAAACAGCTTAGCCTGCATGAAGGCCACAGAAATATCTCCCGAAATCACCTTCCCTCCGAAATGCGCATACATCCCCAACAGACACCTCACAGACTCTAAGGTAGTAGTAGGAGAATAGATGCCATCAGCTAAAGCAGAGGTGGGCCCTTTAAAGTCACGCACAACCAAACGGCAGCGCACACGCTTGTGCCCGTTCTTGTAGTGCAACACCCACCTGGTGGAAAGCACTCTCCTCTTAGCTTCCCGCACAAGGCGAAACGCCTCCTTCTCAGACACAACCTGGCACACACCAAAGTGGTCCAGTTCCTCCATTTCAAGACGCATCCCTTCCCCAAGTTTCTTCTCTTCAAGAACCTCCCCAGTATACTCATCAGCAGCCCCAGAAGGAACCTCAACCTTCACCTTGGACCCTCCAAACTTCAAAGTAAACTCCAACTTGGCCGCCCTAGACCCTTTAGCGTCCTTTGCCGCGAACACAACCTCAGGTCTAGAACACATGGAATACAAAGCACGGTCCTCCAGCCAGCTGATCGCCACCTCCATGGGATCATCATCGTCGGCCGGCTGCATGTCCACATCGTACAAAGGTGGGGCCTCGTTCTCTCCTGCAGGGGGACCTTCAGGGAGTACCTCTTCCTCCTCAACTGGAGAAGTATCATAGTCCATAAGCTCATCCTCCAAGAGCTCAGCTGGAGCCTCCGGCTCCGCACTCCCCCTCTCAACTAGATTACCCTTAGGCTCTCCAGGCTGAAAGGCTTAGGGGGGCTTCAGGTCTAAGGAAACAGGACGCTCTAAAACGTTGTCTTGCCTAGAAGGGGCACCCGAATCAGCGGCTTGTACCACCAACTCCTCAGGATACAAATAAGGCTGGTCCGGCCGAAAGGCCGACATCACCTCGACCTCATCAGGCCGATCAAGAGGGAGCACACGCACTCCTCCACCATTGGGCTTAGCAGGCCCTAGGTACATACACGGGATGAGGCGGCGGCCTCGATTCTCAGGCTTCTGCGTCGCAGGTTTGGCAAAACCCTTGCACCCAAAAGGAAACGTCTTCGTTACTGGAAGATGTTGGCGTCTCAGCCTTTCAATTGGCGTGGTTTGCGACTTCGAGGTCGCATGCAGGTTCCTTGTCCTAGAAACATATCTCAAAGCTTCCTTGTACAACAAACCACCCAGCCGGAGCTTCTTCTCCAGCGTAGTTTCTAGCATCAACCAATTCACCCAGAAGGCTTCCTTCA